GTTATTATTTTGTTGTTATCAAGGTTGTTATTAACAATATTAACAATTGATTTATTTATGATTATAGTAACTTGGTCTAAAGCCAAGTGTATTTATACCTCTTGGTGCAGTACTGTGAGATAGTAAATCTTGGACCTATCAATACCCGGTTAATATTGACCAATTAGAACGAATTTACTACGGAAGTCATGTGATGCGCTAAATATTATTACCATAAAGTCTGGAAAGATAGCATCCCCTTTTTACATATGTGTACCATTTTTTTATATTGACGCTCAATTGTTTTAAAGTAGGAGTGCTGTCTTTCAGGGTGCTATCTTTCCAGACTTTACGGTATTGTAATGGCCACGCCACACATTTTGCAGTGTCATATGAAAGATTATTCCTATTCATATTTCTATATTTATATTTATTAACCTCCTCATTACTCGCTTATTCATTTTGTATGATTCTGAAAGTTTTGCAGTCTCTAGAGCTGATTCATCTAACACAAATATTCTAGAATCATTATCTTTATCGAATTCACTCTATGATCTCTCTTCTTTATTACTATTCGATTTCTTTGATTTCTTTCAACTAAGCTTGGGCTGACTCCATTTTGTTCTTGCTCAAGTTTATTATGAGATTTACTTTTTATATTTTTGTAAAAGGAAAAGGAAGTTAAAATATTAGTATAAAATTATGGATAATTAAATAGAAAATATGGGAAAGCAAATATTTGATGATATATAGTATAAAAAAATATTTTACTTGTTAATATAAATTACACTGATTTAATGGCATACCGAGACAAAATTTTTCTTGACTTCTTTATTATTATATCCGTTAAATAAAAAAGAACTCTTTAATAATCAATAATCATTAGATCTAATAATATCATAGAAATAAATAAATAGATGGTAATTATATCTTTCCTTTACGAGTAAAATATGAACTTTGCAATCGATGAAGAACTCTGCAATATTTTTCAATAAATTGCCATTATAAGCTTAGTTTCTGGTAAGTTTATTGGTATCAGTACTCTCAACAAAACAATAGTTTTTCGTTTAATTTATGCTTTATTGAATTTACATTTTATTGAGTTTTTATCTCCTTTGTTAACTATATAGTTAACAAAAGCATAAAAGGTACATATAGACAGAAGATTCGTGTGAATTGTATTTTTATATTGAAAAAACTAATAAATACTATTTCAATATAAAAAACGCTCTAATATGATTTATTCCTTTTTTTATTATCATTATCCAAGTCCCTTTAGAAATCAATGCTTAAAAATGATTTCAAACCCCAATTTAAAACCCAGTTTAACTCTGGGATCAAAATAGTTATCACTAAATTTGCGATAATATTATGAGTTGTTACATGCGGAGCATGTAATAATGGAAAACTCGGAATGGTTGTTGAGTTTAAATAGTGGCACGTAAATGATATTATTTTAACAACCATTCTAGATCTTTTGGTTTTTGGCGTAATCATTGCATGTTTCTGTACTCAATAACTGTGACCGACTATGAAAAATCATAATAATAATGTAAATTTTGGGAACGTCCAGACGTGCAATAATCGAAAATTTAGCATGCATGTCTCATTTCATATGCAGACATACAATAAATATTTTTACTTTATTATTAAAAGTTAATTGATATTCTTTCTATTTAACGAAATAATTAATCATTGAACTTGCATAATTTTTTATTTCTTGTATTATCAATTGTTTTAATAAAAAATGGTCACTGCGATCTTTTTTGAAGAAAAATGTTAAAAAATGCAGTTAAAAAATAGAACTCCAATCTCAAAATTCATATTGGCGTCCAACATTCTTTATAATTTATTATTGTATAAAAAAATTGTTCACCAAGAAGTTAAGGTTTTAGGTTGAGTTACAAATAAATTCATTATAAAAAAAACAACAATACTTGGTTAAATGGTACAGGATCTTTATTGAGAATGTAGAACCGGAACTTTCCTTTCTTCCTCAGCTATTTGATTAATGTTACGTTGTCCTGCTACAAACTTAAAATTTCTAAATGTTTTTATTCAAATTTTTATTTTGGTAAGCAAACAAAGACTAAATTTGTTGATTTTCATCATAAATATGTGGTGTCAAATTAACGAATGTTTATTATTATTATATTACAAATTAAAAAATTTTATTTTTGAATATAATAGTCAATAAAAAATGCGGTCTTTTTTTTTCCAACTTTCTATAGTTGAATCAGTTAATTAAACATAATGAACATCTTTTTAACATTTTTAATATTGCTCAAATGGTTATGTTTAGCGGTAAATTCAGTTCCAACTGACCCAAGATTTATACATGCCACTGTTATTGTTAACAATAATTTATATGTTATGGGTGGTGTTTCTAATGGTCTACCATCAAGAGAATTTTTTTCTCTAGATTTGTCACAACCATTTAATACAACAACTCCGCCATGGAAGGACTTAACTACAGCTTCACAATTGCCAGTATTTTCATCATGGGCTAAAGCTAGTTCCAACGCTAAGAATGATACAATATTTTTGTTTGGTGGTATTATGCTTGATGTTGTAACTGGTGATTATAATTTGAAAAGTGTAATTTACACCCATGATTTTAAAAGCAACCAATGGTCAGTAAACCCACCTGCTTTTCAAGGAATGGCACCTGAAAGACGTAGAGAATTTTCAAGTGTTAATGATCCATTGACTGGCAAATTATATATTCATGGTGGAGTAAATGATATGAAAGTTACCACTACTGCTTTGTTTAATGACTTTTTTATTCTGGATGGAAATAATTTATCCTGGAGTCAAATTGGGAAAACTGGTCTAAATATGCCACCTCCTAGAATTGACCATGTTGCTGTATTGATTGCTAATGGAATAATTGTTTTTATTGGTGGAAGAGAAACTATTACACCTAAGGCTCCTCTAACTGCAGTTCCCATGAATAAGGTAATAAATAATAACTATAATGATTAATAAAAAATGTGTAGTTATTAATTTAATATTAATCTATTATTTATTTAAAAAAAGCTTACATTATATGATACTAAAACTGACACTTGGGATTTAATGGTAATTGTTAATTTAATATGAGAAATCTATTTTAATTGGAAAATATATTAACCATTTTTTGTATTGATAAGACTACAGTGGGTGGTCTAGATATTGAATCCCGCATTGGACATACAGCAGTATATGGTAAATAATAATTATTATTATTTGTTTCCTTATCATCATTTGAAAAAAAAATTTCACTTTATATATTTATTTCTTAGCTGCTAATGGCCAAATAATAGTCTATGGAGGAACTACACCTGCAATAAAAACAACACCTACTCCTGAATTAGTTGTATTAGACACAACTACAAAACCTTTTAAATGGATCACACCTCCAGTAACAACATCAGAAGTTCATAACAACTCACTTACACGTCATCAAGCAGACTTAATTGGAGATTATATGATTGTAACATTTGGTAAATAAATAAATTAATTAATAATAAAAAAATAATGATGTTAATGACAATAATATGTACATGTATATTAACATTATTTATGTACTTTAGGTAATATAACAAATAAATTTGGGCCACCTCTTAAAACAAGTAATTCAATTCAAATACTTAATATAGTTGATTACAAATGGGTAGGATCATTTCCTGGTTTACCTCCTCCTAGCAGTACATCGGGTGATTCAAATTCATATTCAGGAACAGTTGCAGCAATTGTGGTTTCAGTTGGTCTTACTTTGATTATTGCTGTATTAATTGTCACTTTCCTTGTATATCGTAGAAATAGACAAAGAAAAGATGCACAAGGATCTTTATTATCTTCTAACAATGTTTCTCCACCCCTTCCACCCCCTACTCCTTCTTCTTATTCTCAAGGTCAATTTAATAACAATGATAATTTGATGAGAAGTATTTCCACAACAACACCATCATTAATATCATTACCCAATAGCCAAAGTCCTTCAAATCATAATTCTGTTTATAGTTTGCTTAATAGCAATAACAACTTTAACAATAAAAACAACATTAGTCCACCTTCAATGCTATATATTGATCCTAAAAATCCTGCATCACAAACTTTACCAATGATCACTACACCACCTTTAACAACTCCAACAACCTCAATATATGGTAGTCATATCAATAACAACAGTAATAATTATGATAATTTTGGTATCATACCACAAGTATATAGTCCACCTGATTTGGCTAAACAACAACAATTAATGTTGGGAAATTATGCTAATCGACCACTTTCTCTACTTCCTCCAACATCCATTTCCTCATTTAATGATTATAATTTAAATTCACAACAATTTTCTAATATTATGGATCCAAATTCACAATCAGGATTAGAAATAATTCCCTCCTTGTCTACTCCAGATTTAAATAATCTTGCAATTGGTCAAACACACCCTCATATGTCTACAACAAATCATATAATTCATAATGATGATGATAATGATGATGATGGTGATGATGATGATGATGGTGATGGTGATGATGATGGTGATGATGATGATGGTGATGGTGATGATGATAATGATGATAATGATGAACCACTATCACCAGGCTCAGTAATAAAATACCCATTAGTAACAAATTTATCCACACAACAATCCATGCAATGTGATGATTCACAACCTCAAAATCAATAACAATAAATGGGGCATACTGTAACAAAACCAGACAAAGTGTTGATATTTAGTTACCATTGTACTACTGATATTCATATTATTTTCTTTCCTTTCAAATTATTCAATAACTTCCATATGAAATAATAATTCCAAAAAAATAAATTCAATAAGACAGTTTCATCCATATTATAAATTCTCTCAGATGGGTAACTCTCGCATTTATTTTTTAATAATGACTGTGCAGTGCAGAATATAGAGGATAAGCATGTGCATTTATCCCTAGATCCCAAGGTTGGATCTGAGACATAATGTGCATCCATGGAAATCTGTGACTGTAATTATTATTTTATTCATTTTATAAATCAAATATTTCTCTCACATGATTAAGCAGAACAAACTATAATAATATTAATATACAGTAGAATTTCTAACTATCAATTTCTTATCTGACTTAAACTATTTCCAAATGTTCATTCTCTTTATCTGTATCATCATCATCATTTGACAGTATGAATGGAATTGGTGGTGACAGTTGATCTAATAGCAAAGTGAAATAGAAAAATTCATGGTTAACAGAAAAATTATCCTTCAGTCTTATTCTTTCCCATGCAAAACATGTTTATCAATGGCCCAAGAGGAATAATGAAATTAAATGTACTTAATGGAATTTCTTTTGTTCTTTTGCTCTGTGGTGTGTTATCAAGTAGTGCTTTGATTGTTCTTGATTTGTAGGTGGATAACTTGAAATAGATCCTTGCAGGTATTGAAGCTGGACCTCAAGATCATCATTATCAGTCTCATCCTTTTTCTCAACTAATTTAATTACATTTGCAACAATAGTCTGCAAAGAATGACTTGTAAAATATGATGAATTACTAATTATAAATCACAAACATAAAAACTTACTTTTGCCTTCCAGGCCAACAAAATTATGGGAAGTACTTTTGCAAATTCCTCAATTTGTGAAGGTAAATTCAAAGATTTGGTCCTTAGAACATGGCACATTGGGGTGTTAGATATAAGTATAATCGCAAACATAGGGGAAACCAAATAATAAAACCTAATAGTAGAGATTTTTTGTCGATCATTTTCATAAACTCAAATTACTATTAATTAATTAAAGAAACGTAAACTGTTATAACTCACCATACAGATGAGATTTTTTAATTCTGAAAAATGTTTTGAGCTTGCAGAGTATGCATTTACAATGTAACAGAGCCATATTTATCAATATTAATGTACTTTCATATTGAAAAAGCAATTTTTGTCATAAATTCTAGATGTCTACTAATGCAAAATTTAAAAAATCATAATAAACAAAAAAAAAGGGCATTGTTACGTTATAGATAAGGTTCTTAACAATTAAAAACACTAAATTTTTTTTCTAGCTATTTTGCTTCCAAAGTTATAACCGTTTTAAGATTTTGATTGTTAAAATAAGAAAATCGCCTTTGCATAAACTGTTCTAACTCACCATAATTATATTTAAACAAAAAAAAAATAGCGTTGTTACGTTGTAGATAAGGTTCTTAGAGATTAGAAACACTTTCAATTTTTTTTGTAGCTATTTTGCTTCCAAAGTTATAAACGTTTTAAGTTCCCGACTGTTAAAATCCATTTTAATTTATATTTAAATTAAATTAAAGAAAATCGCTTTTCATGAAAACTGTTATAACTCATCATACAGACAAAAATTTTTAATTCTGAAAAATGTTTTGAGCTCGCAGAATATGTCTCTACAATGTAACAGAGCCATATTTTAAAAATATTTATTAACATTGATGACTTTCATGTTGTTTTGTCATAAATTCCAAATAACTATCAATACATAAAAATTTAAAAAAATTATATTAAACAAAAAAAATAGCATTGTTACGTTGTAGATAAGGTTCTTAAAGATTAAAAACACTTTCAATTTTTTTTTGTAGCTATGTTGCTTCCAAAGTTATAAACGTTTTAAGTTTCTGACTGTTAAAATCCATTTTAATTTTTATTAAAGAAAATCGCTTTTCATGAAAACAGTTATAACTCATCATACAGACAAGAATTTTTAATTCTGAAAAATGTTTTGAGCTCGCAGAATATGTCTCTACAATATAACAGAGCCATATTTTAAAAATATTTATTAACATTGATGACTTTCATGTTGTTTTGTCATAAATTCCGAATAACTATCAATACATAAAAATTTTAAAAAATTATATTAAACAAAAAAAATAGCGTTGTTACGTTGTAGATAAGGTTCTTAAAGATTAAAAACACTTTCAATTTTTTTTGTAGCTATGTTGCTTCCAAAGTTATAAACTTTTTAAGTTTCCCGCTTGTTAATACTGTAAATAGCAAAAAAATATATATTTTTAAAATTTGATCAACATATTTATGTGGTACAAAACCCTTACTAATTGATTTTATTATTTGGTTTCCCCTATGTTTGTGATTATATTTGTATCTAACACCCCAAATGGCACATGTACCCAGTTGGTGAATCCAGTCTCAATAACGTCACAATGAGTCCTATAGTAGATAAAAAATTAAATCTTCAGATAGAAATATTAATAATAACTAAACATATAAACATAATGAATACCAGCATGAATAAATCCAATAGATTCAAGTACTCTGATCTTCTTTTCATCATGATCCATTATGACACAAAGTTGGTCAAAAATATCTTTCATCATTTTGGGGGTTTTAAGTCCTCTTTCCTTTAAAAGCTTTGTGCCATTGTTTCCCTCATATAACTACCCTGCCTCTGAACATCCATACTCTGTCATGATCTTACGAATAATTAATCGCCTCTCCTTCCTGATGTCTTTCTTTTTAGTACTGATACAGCAGCCACGATTTTTCCTTTGAGATGATGCTAAGCTACAGGATTCACCTCTGGGACAGATAGATCAGAAAAAGTTTAAGGATAAAAGTTGCAAAAAAAAAAAGGACCAATTGATATCACCTCACAGCTTCAATTCCATCAATGTCTTCAAATGCTCTATCAATAAAACTCCAGATATGTACCAGATACCACAACTCCAGATGATTTTGTTTTAAACTACATGTTTCATATTCACATATCCTATAAATAGAATAATTAGAATCCAAAAAATATTTTATTAAATCCAAAAAGCAGCACTTACAAGTTATACACTGTGTGTCTAATCCAGTCATAATCAAAGTGTGTTTGTTGGTTGAAATGAAATCCATTCCATAGGTTGTAGCACAGCTTCTCTAAGGCTTGATATATTGGACTATTTTTTTAATCAAGTGAGTATAGTCATTTAAAGAAGATTAACATAAAAACGAGACATCTGATCTTATGAAAACTGTTGAGGTACATCAGCAAGTCTCTGGGCAATTAAATATTTCTTCTATTCCCTATTTTTCCTTTCTGTCCACTAATAGCTGGGTGTCTAGCCCTTTTGATTCTTTCTCCTAATTTGAGAAGTTATTTCAAAAAAATCATTCAACCAACAATTATGTCAAGTTTTTTTATTTAGTTATTTTCAATTCACTAATATTTATATCAGGCTGAGAGAGCTCTTACAAGTGATGCAGACATCCAACCATTTGGTTTATTTTATCAGGTAAAATGTGAGAAATGTTTTATTTTTGCATGACAGAGTCCAAATAAAGTCTAGTCTAGTCCAATAAGTCCAGTCCAGTTGAAGCTAATTGGACTGGTCTGGTCCAAATAGTCCAAAATCCAATAAAATAATAAGAATAAAAATAACCTGTGCCATCTGAACCAACATTAATGCATTGAATAACATCTATAATTAACAGGAAAAAAATTATACAAAAAAATATTTATCAACACCAATTAATTCATCTTATTATATTGATTCATTTACCAGGTCTATAGACATGACAAGCATCACCATTAACACATTCAATTTGTTTAATTGGTGAAACTCTGCGTCCTGTTGTGTATTGATCCCTATGTAATGTTAAAGCTTTTATTTCTTTTAATAAAACCTTTTCAGTAAACCTTGTAGTATTACAATATTCCGCATAATACGCTATTATTATTATTATTATTGTTGTTGTTGTTGTTGTTGTTAAAAAAAGAAAGAAGTTTTTCTTCATGCTGATTGTTTTGTTTCCAAAGAAATCTCTTACCAGAATTTACACAATTTGTGTAATGTTCAACAAAGCATAAAAGCCCAAGTTATTTTGCATAATTTTTTTTAGGAATGAAAAAAATGTCTCAACACAATAATTATCCTACACAATATCCACAACAACAATGGTTGACACCAAATCAACAACAACAACAACAACAACAACAACAACAACAACAACAACTACAACAACAACAAGAAGAACAGCAATGGAGTTATCAATCACAACCAGCATCACAACCTGCCTCACAATCACAACAAACCACACAAACTACACAATACACTCAGCAATATCATGATCAATATCCGCAACATCTACAACAAACTCAGATAGAGTATATGCCAATTTCGTCATCAATTTATGAAAACTATGCTATTCCTTATAATAATAATAATTCACAAGCTATTCCTTCTTCCATTTCTTCCAATTCTTCACAACAAAATTTATTAGCCAGCCAACTTCAACCAGTTATTTATCAACAACTTCCTCAAATAAACCAAATTATCTCTTCTGAACAGCTTCCTCAATCCTCTCAACAGCAACAACAGCAACAGCAGCACAATTACATTCAACAACAACAATTTGATCAATTTGCTTTACAACAATTAGTTCAAGAACCATTTTCATTAACTGATCAAGCAACCACTATTCATCATAATAAATTATCACAATATTCACAAAATTATTTGAATCAAAATAATAATAATAATAGTAATAATAATAATAGTAATTCTAGTAACCCCAGTACTGGTGGCAGTGGTAGAAGTAATCACCATCATCAAATATATCAGCCATTACCACAACTTCATTCATCCTTACAAACATCACTATATCAACAACCACAACCACCAACACCCCAGTACCAACAGCAACAACATCAATATCAATTGCCGTCCTCATACCAACAACCACAAGAAAAACAAAAACAATTGCTACAGCAACAACAACAACAACAACAACAACAACAACAACAACAACAACAACAATTTTTGCTTCTAAAACAACAGAATCAGCTACTTCTGAAGAAACAACAGGAGGAGCAAAACCAGCGTGAACAGCAACAACAGCTACTTCTGAAGAAACAGCAGGAAGAACAGCAACGTCAGCAGCTGTTAAAAAAACAACAGGAAGAACAACAGCGTCAGCAACAACATCTACTATTTCTGAAGCAGCAGCAGGAGGAGCAACAACGACAACTGCTGCTAAAGAAACAGCAGGAAGAACAGCAACGTCAACAGCTGTTAAAAAAACAACAGGAAGAACAAAAACAACGCGAACAACAACAGCTTCTTCTAAAGAAACAGCAGGAGGAACAAAGACAGCGTGAGCAACAACAACAGATGCTGCTAAAGCGACAACAAGAGGAACAAAAACTAATTCTGTTAAAGCAACAGCAACAAGAGGAGCAAAGGCAGCGTGAGCAGCAGCAACAACAAGAGGAAAAACAACGCCAACAACAACAACAACAATTATTGCATCATCATCATCATCATCATCAGCAGCAGCAACAACAACAACAACTTCAACAACCACCATCATCTCTATATCAACAATTTCCTCAATATCAATTATTGTGGTTTTTTGCCGAAAAGTATCTTTCTGAAGCAGCTAAAAAACCAATTACAGCTGAATCATCTACTTCACATAATAATTCAAATTTGACGAATGGCAACAATAAACCTGTGGCAATATCTTCTGATCAAAAAAGATATTTATTAGCGGCAATAAAATGTTTAGAGGCTTTATTAAACTATCTTGAAAGTAATGTTGATAATAATAATAATGACGAGCATGAAAAACCACTTGTTGAATTGAAAACACGTTTCAGATTGAGTCAAATACTTTTTCTATTCACTGAAAACATTCATGAAGCTGAAAATCATTTGCAAAAGGGAGTGAGTATATAATTTCATATATCTATTAATAACAAAATAAGGTATATTCATTATATCACAGTAAACATTTAAAAATGCATTTATACATGCATCCATATTAATTTTTTAATTATCAAAAATTTTATTCTTAAATGTTTTATATTAATAACGTTTTATTTTATTTTTAATATTAAGATCCAAATTGCTCAAACGGTAAATGATTTTATTATCATTACATTTTTTTTAATATGTATGATTCTAAACTGTTTTTTCTAATAAACATAATAGCAAGATGATTTTAGGGAATTAAAGTTTAAGATGATTGATCTTCGATGCGACATTTTTAAAAGTAATAATAATAGTAATTCAGCAAAAAATCTTTTGAAATCTAGTGCAATTGAAGCAATGGAGTGAGTGAATTTTTATTGCATATTAATGATTATTATAAATAGTATCTAGTTTCTAGAAAATCAATAATTTCAAGCGGGGGTCGTGACCCCTTCAACCATAAATCAACCTTTACAGGGAACTAATATATTTGCCTTTTTTTGATTAAATATTTTCAATAGAAATAATATGCCTCCTTGGTATTATCATTTTCAATTGAAACGAGCAAATTTACATTATTCTGAAAAAGATTTTGATGGATGTATGAATGTATTGAGACAAGTTTGTTCGTTAGCTGATCAAAGAGCAGATGTTGAAATGAAGGTATATATTTACATACACGCAAAAATAATTATAATTATAAAATAAAATATATTTACAATAAAAATTTTTTTTGATAAGGCTTGTGTATTAATTCTAATAGCACAATATGCTTTCACAAGTCAAAATTATACATTGACTCAACGTTCATTGGATGAGCTTCAAACTGTTTATTTTCCTTCATCATTAATTCAATCTTCGCAAGCTTATAACAGATTTCCTATCTCAAATCGTCATCTTTATTTACACTTCTCACTATTATATATTACTTATCATATGCATACTGGTAATATGAAATTAGCTGCAGAAAGATTATCAGAAGTTCACCATATTTTGGATAGTAATTCTTTGAATGATATTAATGTGGATGGATCAACAGGAGAAACTACAGTAAATATATTTTCTTACAAAATGTTTTTTCTTGGTGACTTTTTTATGCTTAATAAATGGTAGTATTCAAATCTAACCATGGCTCAATTAAATTTCTTCCATCTATATATCAATTAATTATTATTTTATTATTTTTTTCAATTCTTTCCGTTTATACTATATATTTATTAGATACATATTTCTCCAGTTTCCGAGTCTTCATTGAGCCTTTCTTATCCAAACAATAACGACAAAAGTTCTACAACTTCTCAAAACTTACCATTAAAGATTTGTTGGCTGTCAAATTCACAAATTTATGCCTTAACATTTTTAATTTCGGGAATATGTAATCGAGGTGATACTGCAACCATGAAATCCACAATGTTTTTGACAGAAGGATTGAAGATTGTAGAACGTAATTATTTTTATTTTTTTTTTAATTTTTTTTTTATATGTTAATGTAAAATATTGATTGATTAATTCAATATTCGTTTATTTTAGAAAGAATTAATTCAAATGGTATTTTTACTATTTGTATTTTATGAATTAAATTTTTTGGTGTGATTAAAAAGTAATTTAATTTAAAAAGAACTTTTTTTTAAAAAGAAAATGGTTTATCACTTCAAGAAATCATCAAATCAAAAAAATTTTACATTAATCTAAAAGCTTACATGTTACAATACTTGATTGACGTATATTTATTAAGATCAGAATTTACTGAGGCAGAAAAGGTGATGATGAATAAAAGAATTTATTATTGTTTTAATTAAAAACCTCTAATTTCTAATTTACATTTATATTAATTATAGACACTTGCACAATTAATGAATTGGTCGAATATACATAATCTGTGGCCACAATTCCATATTAATATAATAATCGCACTTGGAATGATAAATCAATTTATAGGAAAGCCTATTATTGCTACAGAATTTTACAAAGCTGCCGAAAAGGTTACTTATCAACATTATTGTCGTCGTCGTCGTCATTATTATTATGTTAA